CCATGGCCCCAAAGCAATTTGACCTCATCCCCAACCCTGCTGTTTGGACCCAATCCAATCCTTCCAGTCCGCCGCACCCCACTGCAAACACCACCCTTAGGAGCATTGTTGATTCCAAGCTTTTGTAAAATTACCAGCCTCTCTTTACTGTATGTGGCCAGGCAAAACAGAGGTTTAGGGGTCTATGATCATGATAATGTACACTCATATTTGTTTAATACACACATGCACAACCTTTTTGATAACCAAGGGTACCCATGCAGGCATATGGCGCTACCCAAAAGTGGTCCTAAATACAACTATCGGCGTATCCTAGATCGATTCCACTTGGTGGTGCCATTGCCAGCGTCCCTTTTTGAAGCCGACCAGACATCGAACCTTTGGGAGAGATGTTATATAATAGTAACATTTGTTTGTCCCCTTCTCAACCAAATCATCCCATAACAATCAGCCAAGTGTACCCAGAACAAAGTTACGTGGTACTTACAAACATTAATCGAGCTAAGAGCGTATTGCCCCTAGCCAATGTTTATCCACAATTGAGTCCAATGTTTGGTGCCATTGCCAGTTTTCCTGTACAAAGCCAACCAAACATCAAATATATGGGCTTCAAGTCTATAAGATGTTCTCTTTTCTTTGTAAAACAAAACATATAGACATCCGAAAATCATTAGCTAAAGATATTCCTACAACAAAACACTTGCTCCTAAACATGTGCCTTAAATACAGTCAATGGTCTTTGACACTTCCTGGTAATGCGTCCTATTCAAAAAGCAGTACAAAAGTACGCATTCTTTGTCTATCAAAGTTTTGCCAGAAAACACTGACCGTGAATAAAGCTAATGATTTGGGCTACGCCTGGAGATTGAGGCAAATGCAACAGCTTCTCAACTAGAAAATTGCTCTCTGATGTAATACTGCCAAGCTTCCTGAAACCTGATTCAAATACAAAACAACTCGACAATAGTATAGCGCCTGTTACAGTAGTATTGGCAACAAACAGACGTCTGGGTCATGTCGTACTGATCCTACGAAGAATTTAAAACGTAGCATTTCACCTGTCTAAAGTGCGTAGGGCTGCCATATTTCCAGAAATTTGATTGCGCAAGAAATACAAAATCAAAATAATATTGTCAGACTTCCTGAACCCTGACCTAGAACCAACAAAAGAAACAGCAGTATTGCCAGACTTCCTGCATCCCGACCCCCAAAAATGTGATTTCGAGTATTCAGCTGGACAATTCAGTCAAAATGTTTTTTTGGGATCAAACTGGAGGGGTGGGGACCCCTGTTTATTTATCAGAGGTGGAGGTAGACATTCTGTGCGTACCACACATGTTGCATGCGGTCAGCATTGCTTCCCCGAATTAAACCTGGCCCAGTTTGACATGCGAGCGGTGTCCTACGTTGGGTTTGGGAATGCTGAGCCAGGTGATCACGGGATTCTGCAAGGGGAGTGGTAGCGTGAAAACGCGTGAATTGGCGTGAAACAGCGTGAAAAGGACCTGCCTACTCGTGAAAGGCCCTGTCTACTCGTGAAAGGCCGTGAAATCTTGCTCCCAATCCCAACTGGTAAAAAGCACTTCCGCCGCCCGCAATTTTCGTGGTTTTAAAAGGCCTTCCCATTAGAATATGCTGAAAACGCGATTTGTTTAGAAAGGGTGAGCTACGATACACCTCTGAGTAATGAACGGGGGCCCCACCCTCTCCACTGCGATCCCAAATAAACATGTTGACTGATTTGTCCAGCTTGATACTCAAAATCACATTTTGTGGGGTCGGGATGCAGGAAGTCTGGCAATACTACTGTAGTGTACTACTGTTCCTTTGTTTTGATTCTAGGTCAGGTTCGGGAAGTCTGACAATATTATTTTGATTTTGTATTTCTTGCGCAGTCAAATTTCTGGAAATATGGCAGCCCTACGCACTTTAGACAGGTGAAATGCTACGTTTTAAATTCTTCGTAGGATCAGTACGACATGACCCAGACGTCTGTTTGTTGCCAATACTACTGTAACAGGCGCTATACTATTGTCGAGTTGTTTTGTATTTGAATCAGGTTTCAGGAAGCTTGGCAGTATTACATCAGAGAGCAATTTTCCAGTTGAGAAGCTGTTGCATTTGCCTCAATCTCCAGGCGTAGCCCAAATCATTAGCTTTATTCACGGTCAGTGTTTTCTGGCAAAACTTGGATAGAAAAAGAATGCGTACTTTTGAACTGACTTTTGAATAGGACGCATTACCAGAAAGTGACAAAGACCATTGACTTTATTTAGGGCACATGTTTAGGAGCAAGTGTTTTGTTGTAGGGATATCTTTAGCTATTGATTTTGGGATGTCTGTATGTTTTGTTTTGCAAAGAAAAGAGAACATCTTATAGACTTGAAGCCCATATATTTGATGTTTGGTTGGCTTTGTACAGGAAAACTGGCAATGGCACCAAACATTGGACTCAATTGTGGATACACATTGGCTAGGGGCAATACGCTCTTAGCTCGATTAGTGTTTGTAAGCACCACGCAACTTTGTTCGGGGTACACTTGGCTGATTGTTATGGGATGTGTTTTGCGAAGGTTTGACAAACACATGTTACTATTAACATCTCTTCCACATGTTCGATGCTTGGTCGGCTTCAAGAAGGGACGCTGGCAATGGCACCACCAATTGGAATCGATATTGGATAATCAATGTTTTGGGGCAATACGCCGATAGCTGTCTGTATGGTCATGTTGTGGGTAGTCCCATGTAGCTTTGTAGAGGGTACCCTTGGCTTGTTGGTTCATGATGTGCTTGAAAGGTTTTAGATATAAATAAACAATTTGTGGAAATGGAAATCCAAGACAGGCTAAGTGGATTTCTACACAGAGGTTGGTCATTGTGTACTGTAAATCATCAACAAAACACCTAAGGGTGGGGTTTGCAGTGGGGTCCAGAAGGGTTAGCAGAATTGGGTCCAGCCAGGAGGGTTGGAGATTGGGTAAAAAGTATTCAGGGGCAGCCCTTGGCAAAAGCTACAGAACATTGATATTTTTCTGGCGGGGGGTGCTTAGCTTTTTTCAGGATCAGATTATTCCTCATGAGTGGACATGACTGGTGAACAACTCTTTCTACTTGCGGCCTGCCTTAACTGACCTACACGACATGAATGTGATTTGCTGAGTTCCCAAAATGTAGCTTGGGCGGGATTCAAGTGGTATGTGGCTTGGCTCTGCTAACGCCCTACCCTTGCATGGAGCTTGCACATGGAAAACGAAGGCTGGCTTAGTTTCCTGCTGAGGTCATCTAAGATGGCACCAGGGCTTTACCATGTGTCAAATCTGCAAGCTTTCACCAGGTACCAGGTACACTTTAATATGTTGGCAATTTCTAAGTACGCAGGGCCTTTTGAAAAGACCCTAGTATTCTAGTCCTTTTGGAGTCGGCCCTGGTTACTTAGTCCTTTTGAGGTTTAGGGGATGGGACCATGTTTCACTAGCAGATTCGCTAGCAGAGATACTTGCAAGTGCTAGATGTGATTTGCGGAACACCTCCATCTCAAATGCTAGACCACCCGGAACAGCCGAAAGGACGAGCGCAGGCCAGTGGAGCCTAACTGTTCGAACACGCAAGCCGAGTACAACAACTGGATGCGTAAGGATGCTCGAAGATATCCGCTGGCCTGCCTCATGTCACGTGATTCGACAGCCCGCCAAGGGAATCGTTGGACACTAGCTATAGCTTAAACACTACAAGCAGAAAACGATGCAAACTCTTCCTGCGATTTCAGTGGGTTTGAAGCTGGCTTACCTCAGACCTTAGCTCAAAGTGGACATGAAATCAGAAACATGGGTGAGTTGGCCGAATATGCAGATGTGCAACATATTTTCTAGGGCACGTCGCTGGAGTGCGGCCTGGTTGGCTGCAACACCAAAAACCTTGCTGTAGCACCATGCAAAAATGGCTCTCATACTCAATCAGAATACACACGCCCACACAAGTACAGTATAATATACTCAACCCTGGTTAGCAACTTTGTTGTTGCAGTCCGCTCAAAATAAGCAGCACCAAAGAAGCAACAGACTTGAACTTTGCCAAACAAACAAACACATACTGATCAATCAAGGGAGTGGCAGAGGGTCCCCTCTCAGAGGGTCTTGATGGGCGAACTGGCTTGTGGGTCAATCAAGGCAGCAACAATCGGTGGTGTTGGATGTCAGGACACAGCGTCCTTCGATTGGAGAGCAGGCTAGCCTGTTGTTCATGCTTCCTTTGAAAGCACCCGGTTTCTGCATCGGCTTCCGTTTGCCTCTTGAACAATCTTGCTCAGAAACACGCCCAGACACAAATGGGGCATAGTCAGCGCAATATTCACGTAGTCGGAACCCAATGAGTCTGGTTGGCCACTGTTCAACTGAGGCCATGGAAAGAATCGTCCCAATGGTCGCGTGAGTCATGAACAAACCACTCGAAGCAGTTGCCAAACCTTATGAAAGAACCTTCCAACTGGCTGTGGGTCAAAACCAATGGGATCCCATGTTGGGGGTGTTCGGTGCACCACCCATGTTAGTCTACTTGAGTGGGGATTGGGACGTTCACTGGGGGTACGGGCTTTTGACCAATGCCCAACTGGCTGCTTTTTGAGGTTCATGATAAAAGCGCAGCGAAAACGTCCAACTCATTTTGTCAGATCAAGACCTGTGTGAGCCGCCGTGCTTCCTGAGGCCGAGGCAGAGGGGTCCGGGCCGGGATTCCCACCTTAGACCCAGTCACGCGAAAATTTTCCGGGCTCGGAAAGCGACTGGTGCTGTTCTCAAGCCAGGATCGGCTTCTTCGCACATACCTGGGACTGTACGGAGCATCTATCCTACATCATCGCTGGCAGAGGCGCATCCCATGGCGGAAAAATCCCCCAAACAGGTCCTGACTAGACCATCTCGGCCCCTAGTGGGCGGTATACCGCCCAAGTACTGTGGGATTTGACGTATCGGTCTCTCTAGTTTGACTTTCTGTGAGATAAGCTTCTAAATAAATGCCTGTCTCCGGCGATAGCATCTTGGGTTCAGGCTCTTGTCTTTAGAGTAGTCCAGCAGCGTCATGAACAGCTTCGACGGCTTGGTCTAGCGCGCGAGAGAGTGGACCACACCAAACCCGCTTGCAACCCACGGCTCACCGTTCATGAGTTTTCATCTATTTCTGGGGAGGAGGCTTGCAAGAGAACCCCCAAATTCGCCACCAGTCAGCAGAGACCGCAACCTGAAATCTTTCTCGCTGATTCACCCATCGTTCAGCGGAGTCCCCCCCTCACTAACCAGCGCGCGTTCCCGTGAAAAAGAAGCTCCCACATTTGCTTGATTGTAAGCAAATCCAGTTGGAGAGCATGAGGTGCTGCAGCCATTTTAGATTTTGGGGGGTCTGGCCCGCAAAATGAGACGAGTGTCATCCGAACAACCTCAAAATTACGTGGAACAAAACCCCGTCAGCTGTTATGTGTAGTGTGGAGCCATTGGGGGTCCACCCGATGAGCTGTCCTTGATGTAGTGTGGAGCCATTGGGGGTCCACCCGATGAACGGGGCACTTGACAGCTGTCCTTGATATGCTTGAAATGTTGCCTGTTTAACAATACCTCGGAAAGTACTTTAAGTCAACTATTCGCAACCCTTCAGGTCCTGTCCTGTCTCCCTTTGCTACACTCATCACTAGCCTTTTGACCTGGGTTCCAAGCTTGGCTTACGGCCATATTCTTACATCTCGAGAAGTGGAACAAGTGTGGCCAACTAGCTGGAACATCCACTCCCGCCAGGTTGTCAAATAAACTCATAAGATCAAACTCATGAAAGCTCTGAAGGTGCAACTAATCGGAGTTTGTTACATGACAACTCAATATCTTGCTAGGCAAAACCAAGCCGTACTGTGACAATTCGCCTGGGATCACGCACGATGCTCCATGTAGTACCCCAATGCACCCATGATGTACTTGCACGAGTTGTTCATGTAATACAAACATCCAAAGCACACAATGCAGGCATAGATGATCATGGCAGCATAACATCTATCAAAGAAGGCGGATACTGAGGCCCTTGTCAAGTCTCAAACATGGTCCTATGAAGCGAACGGCGAACCGATTCAATTTGGCCAAAAAATGCCATGGCCGGAACAAAGCGACACGGAACGGCATGCATACCGCAGGCCGCGCCGCTGCCAATTGAGGATGCCAGAGCGTCTCATCAGTCCTCAGAAGAGGCGATCCGGAAGCAGGACGCGCTTTGGAACGCAAAACGTCCTGTTTGTTCAGGCCAGCAGTGGCTTGACTGGTTTGACCACCTACCTTCATGAGTGGGGTTCACTCCACTGGAGGTAAAGGATTGGCAAACCGCAACACATGAGTCGATGCCAATGACAAAGCAAGCAAATAGCAAACATATGATGGCTGATAGATGAGCCATGGCACACCGTACAAATGACAGACAATCGATAAATGCTTGGACCAATCCCCGGCCGAGTCATCAACCCCAAAGAGCCCTATTCATGTGTGGTCCGCTTGGGAAACAGCCACTGACATGGCGAAACTTAAAGTCAGGAGTGACCGGAGATATCGATGCATGGGCCGTCGGGAAACCTGGTTTTGGTCGGGAAAAGGACCGATGGCACTCCACCTGGAATTGGAGGGTTAGCCTTTTTTTTGAGGGCCTGAGGCTCCACAGGATGTACGTTGACCCCTTGGCTCTTTGAGTACAAGGGGAAGATGAGGCAAGTGGAGGTCAAACGATCGATTCGCTCGGGCGGCTTTATTTTTAGCCAATGGCTTCAAGCAGTGCCACCAAGGTCCTACATTGCGCCTCAAAGATCGAACAAAACTTGCTGGTTCTCAGCAGGGAATGGAATGAACCTGGCTCTTGCTGTCGCCGCCGATGACCATACTTTAGGAAGCTCTGTTGCTTTCCCCGCTCTCGTTCACATATCTTCCGACAAAGACCAGCATTTTGGCGCGGTGAATCGCTTTTGCCGAGTCTTTAACTATATTTATTCTGAACAATCCACTGTGATGGAGGAATTGTTTGCAAACGCGCTTTCCTTCTTGAAGCCGGTGTGCCCAAAAAACTCAAGCACCTTGTGAGGATGTGATGAAGGAACAAAACAAGTGGGTCAAAGTCCTACTCAATCCTCACAATGTACTTTAACCCTGAAATGGGGCTTTAGAGACAAAAAACTGTCGCATCGACGCCTGGGTAGGAGCAGTGTTGATTTGGTTCCTATCCTACCCAGTTTCCAAACGGAGATTGGCCATTCCAGTTGAACTTCCCACAAGCTCTTCGCTTGCCAGCCTAAGCGGTACACCAACCCATTTGACCAGAAGGTTGCAGCACCTGCTCGATTGGGAAAGGTAGAAAAATCCTCTGAGACAGGTGACGCGGTCACTGGAGAAATCCGCCGAAATCCGGGACGGCCCTGGGCCGTCCCGGGGCTGAGGGCCGGTCACTTGGTCGAAGGGCTCTTGGAGATTCTGCAAGACTTGGATCTGCCTGGCAAGAGTCTTGAGCGCCGTCCATCCTCTAGACATATGTAGCTCAAAAAATGGGCCCATGGAACCTTGGCGAGCTTTTATAGTAGAGAGGGTTGAAGAAGGGTACCCGGGTTTTTTGTTTCTTGTCTTTTCTTCTTTTTTTTGCCTTTTTCGGTAGTCTATTTTAGCAGGGGAACCCTCACCCCCAAAAGAGTAAAAGGGCACTACTGGGGGACCTATAAGTTGGCATATGGAAAGCTCAATAAACCTGAGTGTTGAGCCACTCCCATTTCAGAAGCGACAGAAACATCTCGGCATCAGCACACGTGTCTCAAATTTCGGAGAGGTGTCAGCCCGTTCTTGGCATACATGCAGATATGTCGATACTTCTATTTGTCATGGTTCCAGCTTGTTTCCAACGCGCTTGTATCTTGACTCTAGCATTTGCCCATAAAACATAGTCCTAGCATATTCCGAGTGTATATTCTTCAGGTAATATCATGTTCTGCTGTTGGCTTCTTATATACCCGCCCGGGTCTTGACGTGGTCCCTGCCACCCTTTTAGCCCCCCCCGGTGGCAATCTCGCCTGCAGAACTTCTGCAGCCGCACGTCCTCGCCTCTGTGGGACTCCTTCAAGGCCTGGCGAGTCTCGGTCTCGTCGCTTGACCCGGTAGGCCACGTGAGTCACTGGCTCAACGCCCGGGGTTCAAACGGTCCAGCCAGAACCGTGGGAGGAACTGAGAAGGTTGGGATACCCGCAACTCTTTGTGGCTGGGATTTTGTCTGTTACTAGCCTTCATGTACCCGGGGTTTGATGGCTGACGTGTTTCAAGAGCCTTGGGAACTCCAGTTCGGCTGCGAGTAGGTATCATTGGCACATGCTCCACTGACACAATCCGGATTCAGAGGCAACCAGCCGCTAGCCAACTTGTCACAGGGCACTTCAAAAAACAACCTTTGAAGGGGAAATAGCTGGAGTCAATCTGTGAAGCTGGCAAATAAGTTGATCAAAGCCATGTCCACTCTGGACTCATGGCCACTGGGAGGCAGAGGCAAAGTAGACATAGGACTCATCATAGGACTCCCTTTTTTCTGGAAAGAACACCCCTGCGAAGACAAAGTGGAGGAGTTTGGCCCTTCGTGGCCCCAGTTTCCACAGCCAAGTTGCGTTGGTCCAATGTCATGTCCTTCTCAAGGCCCGACGAGTTCGTCGCTTATGAATCCAGAAAAGAAAACGGATCTCTTGCCCTAGGCTTGGAAATAAACCTTGCCCTCTTGGGCACTATGGTTAAACATAGCCCGTATAAAGAAACCACAGGGCGGAAATGTGACTTCGCCAACAGCGAGACCGCCCTCGAAACAACCACACACACAACCACACACACACACACACACACACACACACACACACACACACACACACACACACACACACACACACACACACACACACACACACACACACACGCACTGGTTGTTTGCAGTTTGTTGCATGCCCGTTGATCATTTCGGTCGGCGCGTGCGCAATGGAGCGATCCACAACCGATGTCGGGATGCCTCTGCATGTGCCTCATGACAGGTTGTTACTCATGAATGGGGTCCCACAAGTGAGACAACATACCAAGGTCATACGGTCATACGGTATTCTCCAAATGTGGAAAGTGAACCAACTACATCCAACCAAAGTTCAATGCGCGGTGAATCACAAGGCGGCCCTTGTAACTTGGTTCTTTTGGTTCCCCCCTGTCCCCCCATATCTATTCAACAATTATGGAAGTGGAAATCCGGGCGTCCAGTCCGAAGACCTATCAGCTTCCATGATTGGAGGGGGGGTTTACTGGCAGGGCGTCAGCGCTGTATGCCCGTGGACCCGGGCACAACTTCACCAGAATCGCAGGAAGGCTGGGACCGCTGGGTTTGGGATAAAACCTCCAATCTGTACAACACCAGGGCCCCACATGAGACATACATACTCTGCTCAAAAATAGAAAGACATAGAAAGACACATCAGCAACGACATGCCCATTCTGCCCATTGTGCATGCAGTAAGTACTGGAGATCTATTGCTGAGACGCACTCCATTTCAAGTGGCCCCCCGATCGAATTGTCCAGCCTTGTATACTTTGATTGCAACCTCGTTGCCGCTCCTTAGCTCAAGCAAAGCGCATGAAAAAGGATCCTGATTTGGGTGTGGCTCAAAACCAATGGTACTATTTTGCGGGGTTTTCGGTGCACCACCTATTTTAATCTATTTTAGTGGGGATTGGGATGTTCACTGGGGGCACGTGGTTTTTGACCCATGATCATTTGAATCCCAGGGCAACATTCCAATGGCTTGTGCGCCACCTGCATCGAGCAGGCGGAATTGTTTTCCCTTTAGCGCAAGTACGTCTCGTGCAAGTCCAGAACAGAAGCTGGCAGGACGGCTTCAGAGCGCATGGCCACAAAGAACTCCCCGTATTGGTAGAGATGGTAGCCCTCTGCTGCCAGAAATGCCACGGCCTCTGCGACTTTCCTGGGCTGCCCGTTTTCCGAGACCCCGCTAATAGTGACTAACTTTTAAACTAACACTAAAAGCTACCACTAAACTAAACACACAAAAAACACACTAAACACAAAAAAACACACTAAACACACAAAAAGCACACTAAACACACAAAAAGCACACTAAACACAAAAAAAACACACTAAACACAAAAAACTCACTAAACACTAAAAAGCTAAAAGCCTAAGGAACCGGCTGGCCTTTGGCGCCACCAAGCTTCGCGGCGTAGCCCGGGTCCGCGATCTGTCGAAGGTGCCAGGCCCAATGGAAGCGCAGGAGGGCGGGGCGCACGCCAAGCGACAGGAAGGCGGAGAGCATTCCTGAACATTTGTCTGCAATCAAGTCATGTGGGTGTGCCATGTTTGAGACCACCTTTTGTGTGGCGTTTAAAGGGAAACTGAAAGCAAAAACGGAAACGAGACACACCACACACACACACACCCACACCCACACCCACACGCACACGCACACGCACACGCACACACGCACACGCACACGCACACGCACACGCACAAGCACACGCACACGCACACACACACACGCACACGCACACACACCCACACACCCACACACCCACACACACACACACACACACGCACACGCACACGCACACGCACACGCACACGCACACGCACACGCACGCGCACGCACACGCACACGCACACGCACACGCACACGCACACGCACACGCACACGCACATGCACACGCACACGCACACGCACACGCACACGCACACGCACACGCACACGCACACGCACACGCACACGCACACGCACACGCACACGCACACGCACACGCACACGCGCACGCACACACGCACACGCACACACGCACACCCACACACACACACACACACATGTGGGGGTTGATCAAAAGGACCTTTACACGGGACGGCCATTGGTTGGAAAACATGAGAAAAGTTCGCCATGGTCAAAACTGGCCGAAGAGAGTCTTGATCAACCCCCCATTTCAAGTGGCAAAGTAATGTAGATCTAGTCCAAGGCTGATTTTTTCTTGGCTGGAATTAGGACCCAGCGAAAACAAATGCTTTTGCCTGGTTAGTGGCAAACAAAGGGAACCCCAAAAAAGCAAAACAATAAAAAGGGGGAACTGATTCTGGGGAAGTTTTGGTGTCTGAGGTTGCTATGGTTTAGGGTTCAGGGTTTTGGCTCGCCAAAAAAAAGGGTTCTGGATTTTGTTTTTTTTGCAGCCCCCCAAAGATGACCAAGTGTGGGCTTGCAAAAAAGGCGTTGGTCTCAGCCTACGCAAAATGAAGAGAACCAAACAAAAAAGACTTGGTCCAAGAACAGTGAAGATTCCCAGACCATCTGCTGTGTCCAGGAAAAGCATGTCCAAGGGCTCCAGACTTTCGAGCTGCAGCAAGCTGCTGGGAGAAATGCAGGTGACAGATCGCTCCTGGATGAATGGCATGAGATCCTCAGCTTGAATCCCAGTGGTGCGGTCTAGAATGTCTTGCAGTAGAAAGTGGAGATTTAGGGAACCATAGCTGGCAGCTGTGGTGATGCCACCCAGCTCCTGCACGGAGTATTTTGTGTACACTTCCTCTGAAAGTGAGAAGAAGGAGGCTGCTTCAGCATCCACCGAGCAAAGAGCTGCTGTCAGCACGCTTCTGTCAGGACATGGTGAGAAGTACTCGGTAAGGCGCTGTTGTAGAAGTGTGGCAACGTCTGGATTGGCTTCGACCATGACGGCCTGCAGGCAATCACTCCGATTCCCAAACAAGGCCTCGTAGAAGGGTTTGGTGCGATTGTTCGAGAGGTCCTTGGGACCCACGTGAAGCAAAGTTGGAAGCCGACCAGCGGTTCGCAGTGCCGTAAGGGCTTGCCTGGCCAAGCGCAGAACCTCCTCACAGGGCCGGGCATAGAGCCAGGGTTGGACGTAGCGGAGCTGGTAGTGCTCTGCCGGCGGACAGTCCAGTCGCGGGGAACAAAGCCGCACGTTAGCGAGGCCCTCGCATTGCATTCACGGTGCCGGGAAGACGACTTGAGGCCCGAGAACGAAACGGACTATGCTCAGCGAGCCTGCCGGCTCGACGTGCGAGCCATGAGCCCCATACCATGTAGACCCTCAAACAGGCCTAAGGACATCCAAACTGAATGAGTTATTGATGCTATGAAGGGAACAAAACCTGACAAGAAAGCAATAATCTTACAATTCTAGGGGTTCATTCGCCATTCAACCACTTTTCTTTTCAAAAACTGGCTGTTTCCCCTGGGTGTTTGATGGTTTCCTGAAGATTAATGGAAAGAATGGGGAAGGTACCCCTAGAACAACGCACAGTGGAAGCAAATGGGATGTGCAGCGCTCAGTCGCCTGCAGCTGTATCAACGTCTCTACACTCATCACACCTAGTAGCAACAATTGAATACGCATATATGGGTGCAAGGTCAAAAGTAGGCACCCCAAATGGAAACCTGGTGAATAGAAAATAGGACTACAATCTGCGGTTCCCTGGTGCCCTGGTGGTTTAATTCTGACCCATACCCATATCCCTCCATTCTTGAACCTCCCTCCTCGTGAAGCTCACAAACTCTCCAAGCCATGCCCGACAATTAACCGCCTGCAGACAGAACTTCGCAGGTGCCACGCAAAGTTGCTGAAGTCAAAAAGTTGACGAGGAAACGTTGATGAGGGTTTAGCTTCCGCATATCACACTGTTTTTCAAAGAAGCGCTCGAAGGATTCGACTACTCCAATCAGAACGAATCCTGGCACCAAGCTAGAATTCCCAGGTTGCTACCATGTCTTTGCAGAACTCATGGTAGCTCCTTAGCTCCCTCTTTAAAGGCAAAGTTGGATACCTCCAGCTCCCTAACGGCTCTCTTCCAACCACCAGCGAGTTTGCGACTTCCCAATTTCATCAGTTCTGCGTAACACCGAGGGGATCTCTGAGGCTTTAGCAATCGTTTTGGGTGCTCAGCCACATCCGGGCAACTCTCTCCCTGCGAATCCAGAGATCCCAAGCTGAGATGGTTTCCAGGGTGCCCGCGGATAACAACCCGCTGGCCAACGAGCATGCGCTGCCCGTTGTCATGTCAGCTTCCTCCATTTGCGTTTCCGCCTGGGAAAAACAAGGAAATGACATATGTCCAAGAGTGAGAAACACAATCCCTTTAACACCAACCAGGGAAAATTAAAAACAAAGTCATTTCAGCAAATGGAAGGCTCCGAGCGTCCTGTTTTAGACGTGGCTTCCGCTTCCCCTTCGAAGCGACACCAAGCGCCCGGCTCAAGGTCGATACCCTTCCGACAAATGCTGGAGGTGCCTTCGCCCATGAGGTCCTGACGTCGTCGGCTGGGACCATTCGTTGTCCCAGTGAAACCGGGCTGGCGATCCAGTCAAACCGGGCCTATCCGGTGAAAGACAGGGTGAACACATAAGGTTTCGCAAGGTGTTTTGAACAAGTTGCCTCATTTTGCATGCCGAGTCGCAACATTGTTCAACTAATTACTTCTGGCGTGAAGGAAACGCTGCGTGGCGCTGGACTCAACTGGACTCCGACAAACGCTCGTGGAAAGCGCTGGTTGGGCTCTGAAAAGGGCCAGGTCTCGAGGCAATCTTCCATTTGAAGGCCGCAGGAATTCAAACCTATTTCCAGTAGTGATGAATTCCTTTTAAAACCAACAAGGGGAAACAAATATGTATTTAACAAAACAAAACAAACTTGAGCAAATGGAGGAAAACAGTGCATTGGACAGAAGGTCATTGGGCCAAAGTTTGACTCAAGCCTAGACCCTTGCGCCGGTCCATCCGCGGTTATGGCAAGGCTTCAAGCTCGCCTTTGCCCCAATGTCAGACCCAAGCTCCTGCTTGGGGTGTCTTCCATTTCCATTCTTTCCAGGGATCCTTCTTTCTACCTCCGGAAAGCCGGGGAAACCAGCTTTTTTTTCAAAAAGAACGATGGTGGACAGGAATGGGGAATCAGCCCCCGGAGTCCTGCTTGGACATGCTCATCTTGTACTTTCCCATCACCTCAGAGCTGTCGGCAGTGTTTTCAGGCCTAGCCCCCTGCACCCATGTGCTGCGGTCTTGTTCTTGTTTACAGCAGAACGCATCTACCAAGTGGCCAAATAACAGTTCTCTGCTTTGCTTTATGAAGGCGGTGCCAACTCAAGAGGCAAGTTCACAGATTACGCCAGGCGCTCAAGGCTCATAGACTCATAGACTTCAAGTAATAGCCAGAGAAGTGTATGGTTGGGTGAGTGACTTGCAGCAAGCAACCTGCCCACTCACAAAGCTTCCAATGCCAAAAGCTTGTTGGCCCGAGGTGGTCCGTGGGGAGAAATTACGTGAGACCTGCTTTCAGCTTCCGCTGTGGAAATCGAAGCCTCGGCGTCGCTCGAAAGTTCCCGAATGGCTTCAAGTTGCCGAAGAGAGCCACATGCTCCCGTCCAACGGCCTCAAAACGCAGCCATGGCAAGCACATCCGACATCCATGGCCCGTCATAACCTTGCTGGTAGGGAATGAGAATTGGAATGCTTGCTTATTCTACACCGTTTATCCGATTTGGTTTAGGGAATCCCCGACTTCCGGTACAATTTCAGAACCCCTCGGACTCATTCCCTACCTATCGCACGAAGACGTGATCGGCCCGAGGCGTCCAAGAGCTTCCCGCCCGGTCCGGTTCCTGGGCGCCCGGGCGATGGGTTGTCCATCGCTGCCTCGGACGAAGCGGCAGACTGTTGGGGAACGCGCAGCTCCAAACAGTCACTGAGCGGCCTAAGAACCCGGAACCAACGAAAATACTGGTGCGCCATGTAAGGTACAACCATCTGTTCGAGGGCTCCTCAGCACAGCTAGTGCTACGACCAGGGCGGGGCAAAATGATGCATCATGTGGACTCCGCCCGGAAACACGAACAGTCACCCATTCGGAAGACCGTTTTAGTGATTGTTGATCCAAGATTGCATCAACTTTCATTGGGCGGGGGCGGGGTCCAACTCACAAGCAACAACTGATTCTTCATACAACAATTGATTCTTCAAACTATGGAGAGCCTTCTTCGAGAAAAAAACAGACATCTCCAAGACTCATCATTCCTCGTTTTCGATCTGCCCCACTGGGCGCTGGGCTGGTGTGCTTCTCGGGGGAAGGAGCGCTGGGCGGCAGTGCAGTCGTACGCCCGGAGGACCTCGACGTGGGGATTTGGGGGATTTGGGGCTTTTTTCGTTGATGGTCCAATGAGATGGGTGGGGGTCAAAATTGAGCCACCAGGGGACCGCAGGTTTTCGTTTTGGGTTCAATTTACCAAGGTGGCCATTTTGGTACATGTTTTTGAGCCACAGCCAGATGGGAGCGATTCTCTCTGTTTGTTCCCCAACTTTGGTAAATGCGGGGGTTCCATTTAGAGCCCCGGGCCAGTTCTGACCATCAACTCCTCCCATGTGAGAGTCACATCTTGTTTGGTGGTTTCTCTAATGGTCACCCCGTAAGGAGCTTTTGATCAACCCCCATGCTTCTAGATGGAGGGGCTCTGGACAAAGGATCCTAGTGAATGATCATAGTTCCTGAGATGACAATTCGCGATGAATGGAGCCTTGGATCGGAGGTTGAAAGCGCCTGGTGAGGTCGCTGCGTGCGTTGCGCGGAAAGAGGGAGCCTTCCTTGTATGGCGGGCTCCGTTTGTTTTCTTCCAAACCGTGCAAGAGCAGGATACTGATCATGATACACATACCTAGAACTTCTTTAAGAACAATTTCCCAACATGTTCCTTAAAAAGCAAAAGGAAGGCAAATTGTTGGACACCGCGCTTATTTACAAGCAAAAAAATAAAACGCGAATTTCGGTTCGACCTCTCCATTATTACTTGCCAGCCACCACTTGGCCCTCATCAATTCCATGGTCAATCCAAGCCCACAAACTCTAGACCCTTTCAACCAGCTGTTCATGAGAGCCACATGAGAGCCACGTAGCAGGCCTGGCCTGCCCAGTCCACAACTTGTTCAAGCGACATAGGCAGGTTCTACAAATGTGTTTTTCCGCGGAATTCCGTGTATTTTTTTGTGTATTTTCCGCGGAATTCCGCGTATTTCCGCCGATTTCCGCGTATTTTACGCCGATGTCCGCGTATTTTGGATGGCCAAATTTGTGGGATTTTGGCACAAATCCATCGATTGCAACAATTGAGGGCAATTGCCTAGATGAACCTTTCCTTGTTTGGGGATGGCACATCCCTGCACCATGTCATGGAAAGCTACATAATGTCCCGCTCCTATTTTGGAAGGTGCCCGCATGTAAGATCAGGTCAAATCAGCAGAAATGGCAGCGAAACATGCGATTGGCAGTATCCACTTAGAGTTCGGAAACTCCGCTCATTTGGCGAATTAAGCAGAAAAAACAAAGTAATAAGCATAAATGTGTGTTTTTTGAGGGTCCAGGTATAGGAAACAAAATGTGCGTGAGGATGTGATTAGCTTTTCAGCGTATTGGCTGGTGCTTGTGGTGACGCAACACACCAGCGCCGTTAGAAGCTGGAGGCAACTCAAATACCCAGCCTAAATAGTCCTTTCTGCCCTTAAAGCCTTCAAACTTGGCTTTCTAGAAATTTGGGAGCCTTGCAAATGGTAGGTCTTATGCTGGTTTCCCTTCAACCTTCATTCAACAACAAGGCAAAACAATATAATATGGTCAGCCAGAAAGCACCCATATATCACAAAGCTTCAATCATGCTGCAGTATGTACATCCAGTACTCATTGTGGCCTGTGTAATCCAGAACTTACTTCCCGGATTTCAGGAAACAAAAATAACAACAAACCAACAGACCCGACCGCTTCTGATGCCCATCGGGGCCCCAACATATCAGCTGGTGCAGCTGGCTTCTGGCTCGGTCGGTCCATGTCAGGTACAACCTTGGCTGACTGGCGACCGGGTTTCTTGAGGTCCGGATACGGTGGATGTGTTTCTTGTTTTTTTTTAATAGTAAACATATAGGTTTGCTCTCGAAATTCATAAACCGCACCACGTTGAAATCCTGCGAAGACATTTGTTTGTTTGTTGATATTTACAGGGGAATCATCAGGTTCCAGAGATAGGTGCAGGATTTCGTCCATCCACAGCATGTGCCATGGTCAACACACCCTTTGCTGGTTGGCAGCGGACACCAATCTCTGAGGCTTGTTGGACAATCCTATCAGAAAGAATGCTTTGTCGGGGAACCATCACGCACATAAGGAGCTTTGAAAACGACACCCTCTGGCACGGCAATTGGCGGACTGCTGGATTTTCCTGCGTGTTGCAATAAACCGCCACCCAAACTGGTGGCGATCCTTGGACATTTGCGTGGTTGTTGGTTTGCAACATGTCCGCAGTCCACTGCAATCTAACCATGGTTGTGTCTTGAAGGATACAAGCTGCACAAACCAAACTTTGGCACACATCCCAATGAATGCCCCCATCGCAAAGCAAAACACGCTAAATGTATATAGCATTTACATCGGTAAAGCAAAAACACCGTAAACCACTTCTGGACACAAAAGGCAACCTGCTGCAACCCCAGCTAACATAGATTGTCGTGTTGATAGCTGAGCTACGAACAAGTGCAAGGGCGCAGCAACATTTCTAAGAGGAGGGAGAAGCAAAGCTTTTGCACACTAATGCAAGGCAAGAACAACAAGTCCCCCTGCTTCCAGATTTGCACCCGGTGATTTGTTGTTTGGCTCGGACCTTCCAGAGACATCAACATATTGTTGTAATCTGCTGTGGAAGAGATGGTACCCCACACGGCACGCTCGTATATGAAGCATCAAACACTAACCCCCGTGTAACCCCGGCTCTGAAAAAACACCTGAGCCAGAGTCGTCTGGGCAATCAAATCATAAGTCGCGGCGACACGAGGAATCCCCAAGGACCCTTCCTCATGGTTGCCAAGCCCCTTCTGCTCGCCCAAATGAATCAAGCAGTTGAGCCATGTCCTAAACGTGTCATGATGTGCTATGACCAGCTTACGCCACCAGCTTACGCCACCTTGTGCATTTGGAGTTTTTGCTTACGCGACACATTTGGAGGTGTTGATTACGCCAGCAGCTTACGCCACCTTGCGCGCGTGGAGTTGTTACTTACGCGCTGGTGGATATGACATGACTTTTTTAAACATGTGCACGGAGGTTTTGGACGCCGCTCAGCTGAGCTTTTGGCGACCGAGGAAGCTCTTCCCATGGGTTTGTCCCTCAAAAGATGGTGGGTTGCCACCTGAAACTTCCCGTCTTAGCGACCCAAAAAGCAGACCCGCTCAACACACGTCTCCCAGAAATGTTCAGCCAGCCTCGCACAAGCATGGAAGAATCTCCAAGACCCCACTGGATAAAAGCTGTAGTGCCGTTGTGCAGTTAGTTTGTTGCAACTGTGGATCCCGGTTAACAAACAAAACAGTAAGACGCATATAGTAGGAATGGGAGTGCTTCAAATACCCACAAGAAAGATCAACTTTCGGTGCAGTGACTCTTCACCTCCGATAGCCGGAAGCGCTGGCGATATGCCAGGGGGTCTTGAGAAGCTTGAGAATAGCTGCTGCCGTGCAGGGAAGCCAGGGGAAAATCAATGCGGCAGTCACATGTGAATAAGGAGTCCAACTGAAAACTGAGCCCCATGTGAGTTTTTCGTGCAGGTGTAATGGCCTCCCCTCTTTTTAGTCATTTTTCCCCAACAGCTGAAAGCTTTGGGGTCTCAGCCCAGATATGCTCCGGGGTGGTCCGGGGCGGCCCTGAGGTAAGGTTCCACGAGGGTTCCACCAGGATTCCACGAGGGTTCCATGAGGTTCTGCGAGGGTTGCGGGGTGGTGCGAGCACTAAAAAGAGCACCGCATGCTGTTGGGGATATCACCTGAGCTTATTTTTTGTGGGCATAGAGTTCCTGCCAAAGTGGAAAGGAATCCAGTTCAACCCGCAACGCCGAAGGAAGAATCAGGAGGCTTCCCAATTCGAAGGGATCTATCTGGACAAAGCTCCGAAATTGCTGGCTCTCAACTCTTAGTCTTCGGGAGAAATGTTTACCGCACTTCTTTCGGTGGATTGTTCAGACAAAGCAACCAAACCCAAACCCAAAATGGCCCAAAATGGCCCAAAAGTCCTAAGTCGAAAGTCGACAGTGGTTGTTTACAAAATGGCCCAAACCCGAAGAGTGACCAAAGCCTGAAACGGAACTCGGGAAGTGAGCTACCAAAATGGGTGTATCTGTTGAGGGAAGCCCTCCAAGAAAACTGGCAGGGTTCCTTTTGGCTCTCCTTCAAAACGCAAAAAGGCCACCCTCAAACAACGACAGACCCAAATGCTTCCCATTCACTGAAACGGGGGGGGGGGAACATATCTTAGCGATGGAAAGGGAGACGGATCTTAGGGGGGGAAAGGTTGGAGAAGATCTTAGCGGGCAAACAACTTCCCTATCTTCGGGGACACAAGCAAAGGCATCGGGCCAAGTGCCGCGCCGGATTCGAAGGGACCACGCCGTGTGCACAACCCATGAGGGTTGGACCTAGGCCGGAGAGGACATGAGGCAACCCCGTGGCTCAGTTGGCCCGAAGGGGATGCTTGGTGCAACACCAACCCGGTTCTTCCCGCAATTCGCGTTTTGGTGGAAAACCAATTGCCCAGCCAGGAATTTCTCAACAAAGGAGGCAAGCAGCTGCTTTTGTCGCGTGGTTCAACATGCAGTCCATGCAGCCCGACTTGAAAGGTGCCATGAATCTTGAGCAGATTTCGCTTCCGCGGCTCCAAATGACCCACTTGGTTCAGCAATTGGTGGCCCGTGGCTCCCAGGGTGCACATTGCCCAACCAGTTCACCACGAGAGACTCGTCCAACGAATACCCCCCATCTGTGACACCGAGAGTGAGTCAAGATACCCGAGACCACGGAAGCGATGACTTGCTGCTTTGCTCGACTCATGGTGAGTCAAATGTGCTTCCTTCGAACCAAGCCAGCCGAAAAGTGGGGGGTGTAAGTAGGGGCTGGAGCGGTGGTAAGCAAGTAAAGTTGGGAACAAGTTGGACGCCCTGCAAATTTCCCGCACTCTGGCAGGAATTTCTGGCTCCACCATAGTCGATTCAGTCCGCTTGGCCTCGCGCACTGTTATTTGGCCGCCGCTGCTCCTTAGGAGACGAGGAGCCGCATGGCGGGGTATTCTTGAGCCGCAAAAAGAAGACGCGGGCGCCGAGTGCCGAGCGCCGAGATCGCCGAGATCGCCGGCGTTGGCGTCTTGGCTCTGGGCTGAAGGGGGTTGAGGTGGGGCCGGGGTGTGCCAGTCGGCGGCCTTTCACGACTTCACAGGTTGGAGCGAGTTCCGTGGCTCACAGAAGGCCTATCCAACTTTGATGCGCTTTTGGTTCCCTAGAAGTGAGAACCTCCCCCAATTCTCCCATTCCCAAAAAGGAAGAAAGACACGGATTTGCATGTCGGATGAGTTCCATTGGCCCCGTGGTCCCGTGAGTCTCGGTCAATACATTTGATTCTGGCAATGGCCATTCTCTGACAGCTTGGTGACTGGACCAACTGGTTCAATGGTTTGGCAGGTTAGGTCTGTTTAACCCCCTACCAAGGAAAGATAACCCCAAGCAGACAAGGGATGGGAAAAGCCGCCCCACGTAATTCTGGTTTGGTTCGGAGCATATCCAATCATTCTGATTTATCAGAATTTGAAGCGAGCAATCCGCACCGTGTCTGAACCTCATTGTAGTCTCAGTGCACTTTCCAGCTCACAGCACGATCTTTTGCTCGCTCTGCTGTCCAAAGTTCACGAATGATGTTATAAACAGGCTGGAGGTCATTTCCAACCCGGCCGCCAAAATGGGACTTCTCCCATGCAAAAATGGAGGCCGAGTTTTGAAAATGATCCTGACATGTTATGCCGTTGGCAAATCGAAATCCTCGCCCCAGAGGAAACAAGGGCGCGGGAGAAATGTAATACATGTACCCAGCCAAAGGGCGCGAAAGACACCACGCACCCCGGCCGCATTGCTTGAAAAAGCTGGGAGAGAAGCAACTCGTAACACAGCATAGAGTTTGGTAGCACTAAATCAGCATGATTCACCAAGAACTTGAATCCATCTGTTACCTTGCCAGCTCTTATCCCCCAGCGCTAAGCAACATCCTGACGCGTCTCTACCTGGAGGGCTCTCGAAATGTCCTCTCCGCACTTGCGGCTTCTATCATTCGAGTCATAATCAAAACCTGATATGGGTATGGGTCAAAATTAAGTCACCAGGGACCGCAGGTTATAGTCCTTGGTTCCATTTATCAGTGTTTCATTTTGGGTATCCATTTTCGACCCACAGCCATATGAAGATGGTCTACCCAGAACCATTCAAAGGCGGCTGCTCCCATTTTGCGGCAACTCAGCCTCGTCTACCCGGGTTTTGATTGAGGCTCATCTGATAAACTGCCAAACCTAGGAAGCGCGAATAGCTGTGCAATAAATCAGAATCGCATCTTCTCCATTTGGGATGTGCTCATCATTCTAATGGAACTTTTAACGTTTGCAGGTCCCTTGGTCCGCAACATATCACCAGTCTCACTTTTTGCCACTAGCAATGATCTTGCTTGAATGTGCAATTACCATAGTTGACCTTTTGGACAAACAGATGGCCCTGATAAATGGAACACAACAAAACTATAGAAAGGACCGCTATGCTTTCCTTACCCCCAAACGCCCAGCCAAATGCAGCGAGCCAAGCAAGGTGCCTGAGCCCGGACTCTCAAGAGCCCGCCAGCGTCTGGGAAAATATGAGACTCGCCCTTGGTGGCGCTCAGGACTTCTTGGACTGGCGCGGAGGCCGAGTTCCCGGGGTACCCCAACACGCCGAGTCCAGTAGAGAGGTTGGAATGAGGGTACACTCCCTCAGACTAACATGGAAGCTCCCAGAAGACCTCTGTAAATGGAACCCAGTCTTCCAAAGGGGTCCTGGGAGCTTCCATGTTAGTCTGGGGGAGGGTACCCTCTTTTTCTGTAGTCTATGGGTAAAAAGAGCAAACCTGGCGGGACCTAGGCTACAACCCAAAAACCGAAACCCGCAAGCCCTGCCCAGGACTATTGTCGTGACCAAAACTCGTGGGAACAAATCAGAACCGAAACGCGCAAGCCGCGGTAGTCAGGACCATTGTCGTAACAAGACCACAACTATTGGGGACAACTCAGCAAATAGCAATTGGACGGTGAGGTCCATTGGGCAAAACTACCCGGGATTCGAGTGGGAAGGCAGGTGTCCACTTCCTGGCTAGGCGCTTTCGGGGCAACCAAGTTGAGCTTTTAACCTCTTGCTTTCCTATGGCCGATGTTCGGTGAAGGTCCCAAAATGAATTTGGGAACCTTGACTTTCAGAATCCCTAAGCCGGGCAGGTATAAGGGGTGAGTAGTTGAGAGCCTAGCTAGGGTTCCCTAGGTGTTTTAGGAATTATTAGATTTCCTTAGGGAGAGTTGGGGAACCCTCCGCCTCCTTGGACGACCCCTCCTTAGAGACTCCATAATTGACTAAACTTGGAGCAAACTTGTGAAAGCCAAAAGCAACTTTCGGCCGACATGGGAACTCAACGCGTGGAATGCTTCGGTGCTCCAAAAATTGGCCCCAGCCCGATCTTTCCCTGCCAACACAAACCCACTTGCGTCACCTGCCCTCGGATTTTCTTCATAAGCAAAGGTCCTACAAAATCGATCCATAGAAAATTCCATTCCTATTCTCAGTTGCCCGGTTCGGGGACCCAGTCATTCAGATATTCTCAGATCACAGGTTGAACCCCCAAAATGAGAAACAACCTCACCCAAATCGGGCCGCAGCTTAATGGTGGACCCCCACAATGGGGGGAGAAACTTATTCAAATTGGTCCACGTAGGTGGCCTTTTGGAAAAATAGGTGGCCCTGGTAAACGGAATCGACCATCTAAACCAGGGCCAACTCCATTTTTGGCGCAAACCAACCAGAAAGGACACCCCTGTTGGCCCCATGTCGCGGGAGAAACCCCCAAAGCCGCCGAGCTGGCGGACGTGTTTCCGAGGCCCCGGCGGATGCCATGGCCTCATCGATCTTGGCCTTCAGCTGGTCGGTGACCTGAAAAAAACGAGGATCCGAAGCATAGGTTTCGGAAAACCGACCAGCTACCTGGCGGTTTAATCCTTCTGGAAAACCTCCGCAAACCTAGGGAAACAGCCGGTTTTCGAAAAGAACGATGGACATAGCTGTCCTTTTGTGGGAATTGAACCGCCAGGTAAAGCAGGGCCAGCTATGTTTCCACCAAAACAACCAAAAAGGACCCCTATGATCCGAAGTTGCGCCCCGGGAGCCGTAGGGCGCCTGCAGCCCACCTACCCTCCAAAGGCTGAATGTATAGCTGTTTACATGAACCCATGGCCATTTTAGAGCCTTTGGGGGCTGATGTCCCATAATTAAGCCGTAACGAAGGGTTAATGAACCTGTAAACTAGGCGTTCATGCCAGGGGTTCAAAAATGGACGTATGCGTTCCATTGTAACACCCTACCCTACCTTACCCCACCCTACCCTGCCCTACCGTACTCTACGCTGCTTTTTTGACCATGCAACATCCCATCCTACAAGCAGTGGTTGGGGGAGGTGCATTCTGAACGTCCCCCCCTTATGTAATACTCCAACGAAACTGCCACATTTTTGGGTTCCTTCAGGAATCCTTAAGGGGTATGCTCCAGGGGTCTGGCGGTACAACTTTTATTTAAAGCTTGCCATGTTGTTTGGTCTCAAAAAGTCGAAACCGAGAGGTACCTATATATAGCAATAGTTGTAACCAAGAGCGAACAAGCTTTTGGAATCGGTCGGGAAACAACCAGGCCCAAAAGGCGCCCTTTATTCAACATCGGAAACCGCAAAACGCTCACTTGCCCAAAGAACCTTAAAAGAAGGGCTCCTGAAATGTCCCCTATGAACATTTGGCCTGAAATCGAGAGATGTATCTCACTCACCAACCGATGTATTGATCAACCCCGATGTGCTCTAGGCGCCGCCCAAAAGACACGACACATTTACAAGTCACGGCGGTCTCATGAAACAAACTGGTTGAACATCACCTTTGCCTGATGGGAACACGGTTGCCGTGCGTCCGGGTTCCGCTTCTTGGAGGATCGCACGACTTCCAACACGCGAGCCTCTTTGGGACTTTTAGAGCCAGGAATCCACCTCACCGCAACTATTCCCACCACTAACTGGGAAACGACGAGGATGCTGGGAAGTGTCCATGGAAACTTCTGCTTTTGGAGATCCAAAAAAAAACTTGAGGGACCCTGGCACGCGCCGAAAAAAACGTATTCCGGGCCCTCCATATTTCAACCCCACGTCCCACGTCCCACGTGACGGTTCCCAAATGCCTTGTACTCCTCGTTCAGCTCCAGGACCTGCAAGTCCACAGAACAACCCCCCCTCTGGCCTTAGCTCTCTAGGTGCCATCTACGCATATGGGTCCCTCCTGTCTGCAAGTCAGACCAGGTATCACAGTAAAACAACATATTAATACAATGGCAATGGTATTCCAAAATCAAACCTGTCACTAGCCCAGTACTCACAGTGCTAGTTTGCTCGCGTCCGCTAGAAATGTGTTCTTTTTGGCAGGGTTCGTGTTGTGGTCATAGTTACTTAGATACACGGACAATGGACCAGCATTCGGACGTTTCATACTACCTCCACAAGCCTTCTTCCCAACCCGGAAGAGAAACATGTGAATATTTATTTCCACCTATTCCACAAAAACAACAACATGAGCATGAAACACTCCTATATTACGTAAATGACGTAGTTTTGAAGCTGACTCATATGATTGCAACGCACGGACCAAACACCTAACATTAGGTTGTTGTAAGGGCTAGATCACTGCGTCAGGCCCGGCTTCCACGTAATTTGGCTGTGGCTCAACAAAAATGGTACCAAAATGGCACCTTGGTAAATGGAACCAAAGACTAAAACTGGCGTAACCCCAGCTCTTTAATATTGAGCCATACCCATTTGTTAGCAACAAAGAGTTGTGTTCGCGATCCACTATTGATTCTGAATATCGAACCTACCAAAACATCAACCACACAGCGTAACCCACAGTGGACAAGGAAACTGGAGCCAAATAAAGTCTAGCCGGAACAGTACACTCACTTGTGGCCGAACACTTTTCCGGCCATGTTTTCTGCGGTACCTTCTTCCATGGAGCCCTAATAAACAGGGGCTATGTGAAGGGGGGACTATCCCATATTTACCCCTTCATAAGGCCCTATTAAGGGCTTATCAACTCGGCTTATCCAGGGATAGCGCCACATCGCACCCCAAGATGTTGAACACCCCCCCAAAAAAAATCCCCCCCCCCCCAAAAAAAAAACACACACAAACAAAACAAATAACAAAATCCCCCCCCCCTCCCCCAAAAACACACACACACACGCACACACCCCAAACAACCCCCCCCCCAAAAAAAAAAACACACAAAAAACATAGACCCCTACGATTCCGCGACTGTGGGATGGTCCTTTGCCGCAAAATTCGAGGCCCCCGCCTTGGTGGCAAGTTGGCTGGCCAGGTCGGAGCCTGCCAGCAAAGCGCTGCCCAGGGTGTCCTTGATGCCAACGTCCTGCAGAACGCTGCAGCACGTTTCAGGAATATTTAGAACAGAAGGAACAACAATAGAGACATGCATGAATGTGTTAAATAAACAAGTAAATACATGTAATATTATGATAACATACTACAACATATAATATGCAAAAATATAAATTACTATGATATAGCATGAAGTCAAGTAGAAACTTATGACATAATAGAAACAAACATAATGCAATACAATATATTATGATAATATAACATGTAATATAGCATTGTGTAATGTGATATAATGTGATATAATGTGATATAATGTGATATAATGTGATATAATGTGACATAATATGATATATACAACCAATATACTATACACGTGTTCTGATTTTTGGGCTTACCTGTAAACATGGACATGGAGGCGACTTGTTGGCCTGGAGACTAGATGTCCGAGGGACTCGTCATGGGCAACTGGGCCTGCACATTTGATGTGCCACCCGTCATGGTTTTCCTGAAACGCAGCTTGGCGGAAAACCAAAAGGGACACAGTCATGTTGTGCGTCCCTCTAGAAAAAAACAAAGCACGCACGCACGCATATTATTTAACCAGCTGTTTTGGCAGCCAGGGTGGAAGATTTACTCGACACGCTTCAGCAGCTTTGGTGCCGGATTTGACAGAGGGCCAGGTGCTGGCCCCAAACTCACTGCAACATGCCTGTGTTTTTGACTTTTGCCATCGGTCAGTTTGCTCGAGTTTCCCCCTCCTCCTGCCCCTTTCGCCAGGTTTTGACTTCCTTATGCCCGGAGGCGTATCGGCTCAGGGTACGATCGAGTGGAGTGGTACTACTTAGATTCCCAGCATCGTGACCGCAATCTAGATTTCCTTAACGCCAAAGACCGAGCCATCTTTGCCTCCGGTCCAGCTGGACGGAAAGTCGTCATGCAGCTACGTTGGCTCGGTGGCTCCGCACGGTGTCACGAGAGGGCCGCCAGGATGTAGTTCATCGTGAAGTTTGTGAAGTATAGATGTCCGAGAACAAAAGGTTGTCATCAAAATATATCGAACTAACAGCACATGCATTGTTTGCTTAAAGTTTGTTCAATGTTGCTTTCTTTGACGCTGAGCATCAGATTAGGCTGACGCAAGACGACTCGCCGACTGCGCAGGCGACAAAGGTTGCCGCCAAGGCCGAGCCAGCCTTGGAGGATCTCCCGCGCCAGGTGCAAGATTCCGCCAAAGCCTTTCGCCTTCTCCCGCAGGCAGATGACAAGATGGACTCCGAAGCCGAAGAGAAGCGTCCTTCGGCGAGTCCCGCGCAAGTCGTGCCAGCAGCATGAAGCGAGCAGCCGTGCTTGCACCACCAGCTTCTGAGCTTCTGGCAGGCCAGTAGACAGCGACAAGAGCAAGGACATCACGTTGCTCCTGTCTCTCCCCTTATAGCAAGATGAAGGAGCTGCGTTCAAAGCAGCCCTTTCGGTGTTCAGCAGCAGTGTGGCCACTTCGTTCTGCCAGCAGAGACGAGCGACTTCGCCCTCGCACCTCAATGCCTGACATGTGCTCGTTCTCAGTGGGGGCTTCCAAGTTGGCCTTGTGCATTGGTAAGGGGTCTGACTGGCAATGCATTCAGGACTTTTCATAACGCTTAGGAGCGACATTCAGGGCAGGCAGACGGGCATTGCCATATCGACATGCATCAACGCGGGCAGAGTTCGAAGTGGAGACCAAGGCAGCGGTAATCCAGAGGATCCATGGAAGACCCAGGAGTCCATCGCGCTGCAGCATGTCACCTGTCGTGATCCAGCAAAGAACCTATTTGAGAACACGGTGACCCAAGGATTCCGTGAGGGCCCTTCCTTCACCAAGGAAGCAAGCCGCCACACCAATCCACATGTCGTCTCTAACTTGGATGCAGTTGCTGGCATGTGCCGGGACTACTCTTCATCTCAGGACGAGTCCCTTTCTGCGTCGCAGTGGAGGCATTGGCCCGGGTGGATCACTGGAGGCAGCGGAAGGGCTGCAGCATATTGTGGATTACAAGCTTGGAAGGTGAACAGAGTTGCGGCCCTTCAAGTGCTGCCCAGCCAGCTACATGTACGTAGGCGCAGGTTCACTGTGCTCCTTGTCAAACCAGGCGTCAGAATGAGGGGAAGTGGGTCCAAACCACCAGACTCCTTGGGATTCATCCACACAAAACTTACCCTTTGTAAGGAATCGATCTCCCTAAGAACTTGTCCATGTCACCCAGAAAAGGGAAAAAGTTGGCCAGTCCCAATCCATGGTCCATAATTTGCTGAGGAAAAGAAACCGCGTCTTCCTTCCGTAGTCATACAGGATCTTGCTGAGACATAGGCCCGGGATTCCTGGAGGAACCCGCTGGCCAAATTCTCTCTCCGCCAGACCGGATCTTGCTGGCAGAATTCGAAGCCGCCCCAAAAACGGCATGACCCCTCCAATGCAGACCCTAATTCCTCCTCCCTCAAAATTCTAACCCATTTCGAGGCCCCCCAAAATCCCCAAGCGGACCCAACCGCCCGGGGTGCCTTGTCGAAGCTCTCGATGGCATCGCCCACGGTGTCCAGGGAGCTCTTCACAGACTTCAGGGACTCCTCGCCGGCTTCGATTCGTTGGGAGCGTCGGGTTTCGGGGTCAAAAGGCGCCTCGGCTCCCAAAAAAGAAACAGGAACGAAATGCTGCTTTTAGTGCGCAAGCCAAGATTCCATAACCCCAAAAGGAATCACTGACGTGAGGAATCTGTTCATACATGTTTCCAATGGGGAAAGATTTGGAGGAGTTGACATTAAAAGGAAAAACAACTATAATCGGGTACATCCCACATGTGCGCTGGCCAACATTTAACGATTGATGCTCACTGCTTGTGACATGCCTGGCATCTGGAAAAAATCGCTTGCTAGGTGGGCAAGGTGCGATGGTCAAAGAGTTGAAATGTCAGGAACTTTCGCAACATTTAGTGGAGACAAGGGGAACTTGAGGGACTTTTCCCCAGCCTCGCGAAAATCCCAGAAAGCCACTTCCGTTTCAACTTTTTCGCCCCCTAGAAAAAAAGACATATTTCCGGTAGTGATAGATTCCCTTTCAAAAACCATTCAACAAGGGGATGTCAAAAAAAACAGCAAATAGATTCCCTTTAAAAGCCATTCAACAAGGGGATGGCATTAAAAAAAGCAAATAAAAAAGCAAATAGATTCCCTTTAAAAGCCATTCAACAAGGGGAATTCACAAATATTCAATTCAGCAAAGGGAAGGCCAGCAGTTCGCTTCGATTCGCTTCGGACCTGGGAATCCGCGTTCTTGTCGATGGCCTCTGTGATCGCGGAGCCCACCTGGCGATCGCTGGGAACACTCCAGTCAACGCGACACGCGAAGGGGGGGGGGGGTTTAAGCAGTTCGGTTCTTGGTTGCTGCAACGACCCCCTTGCAAAAAGCTTAACTTTTTAAGGGGGTTGGTTAAACAAACACACCTTTATTTCAACCAAAAAGCTTACCTTGTTAAGGGTGTTAGTAAAAAAAACACCTTTATTTCACCCAAAAAGCTTAACTTTTTACGGGGTTTGGTTTAAAAAAAAAAAAAAACATTATTTCAACCAAAAAGCTTAACTTGTTAAGGGTGTTAGTAAAAAAAGCACCTTTATTTCACCCGAAAAGCTTAACTTGTTAAGGGGGTTGGTAAAAAGAAAAACACCATTATTTCAACCAAAAAGCTTAACTTGTTAAGGGTGTTAGTAAAAAAAACACCTGTATTTCAACCAACAAGCTTAACTTGTTAAGGGGTTTGGTAAAAACAAAAAGAACAAAACACACACACACACACACACACACACACCTTTATTTCAACCAACAAAAGTTAAAGTCTAAAGATCCAACCCAATAGTAGTCAAGGTTTTAAGGTTGGAGCCCCCAAAATGGGTCTTGTCTTTCTCTGAGGGTACCTAGAGTCTTCATGACTTAAAAGCTGGGTCCATGACCCCTTAATTTTGGGTACTGACCCATGTTTTAAGGGTCATGGAGACTCCAGGTACTCATTTGTCCCTCAATCAAACATTCACCAAAAGGTTCCGCAAGACAGGATTCTGAATGGGGCCTTCGAACAACGAGTTATGGCAAATTTATGGGAGTTGTGGGCGAATCTTTTTGAGGCTACTCATTTGTTGGTGGTTTTAAAGAGAAGCCAAAAGGAAAGCCACCATTTGGGCGGGTCCCCCAAGAAAAGACAGACCCAAATGGCTTCGGGTTTCCGGTTGGCTTCCTTTTAATCACCACCCGAAAAGGGGTGCCCGCTCACAAAAGGCACACCCAGTTCACCATAGGGAACCACGACACCGCGCCAAAGCTCTTCCAAACATGGAGCCATCGCCAGCCCCGAAACCATCCATCAACCATGAGCAAGCAAAGGATCACCAGGCTCAGAACGCTGGGTCACCATGGTGGCTTGCTGTTTGTCAGCCGCGGCGCACACCTGGCGCGGCCTTTTTTTGGGTTTTTGTTGGGGATGCGCAAAGGTCTTCGTTTTCGCCTCGCCTTGGTGGACACTTCGTACTTCTGGTTCAGGTAGTCAGCAAAGTTCAGCGCCTGCCGGCGTGCGTTGCCGACGGCTCCACCCTTCCACCTCGAAGCACACCGGCACACCGTACAAGATGGGTGTCTTCTTTACGGAAGTTGGACCGCCAAATTGGCTTCGGCTTTTGTCTTGGGTTTGCCTTTACCACAAAAGTGGTATCAAAAGTCGTGTGCTTGAGGCTCGGTACCTCTTTCGCGGCCTCGAGCGGAAAATGAAAGGCGAACACCACCCATTCCGCGGGCTTCCCTATGTGGACAAAACAAGCCTTTCCAATGCGTACATCCTGCGATCAAGCTAAGAGGAGCCCTGGAAACCTTCTCTGTTCTTGTGGGGGCCCGATTTTGTCTCTCCGTGGCATCCCAACTGCAGAAAAAATGCTGTACAATGATCAGACCCTCGACAGGCAAACTGGGCTGCTCAAAATAGTGAGTGAGCTCCTTTGGGACAAATGTCAACATGGTGTCCATTGACAACCGCCCACCGAAAAAGCTCTCATAGGATGCTCGGTCATTGCAAAAGGCTCAAGGCTTTTGGGCTCAAACTCAGTCAACAAATTGAGCAAATGGGGCGCACGTCCAAGTAGTCAAAGAAGGTGGCGTGAAATTGGCGTGAACAAGCCGTGTGACACGGAGTTTGCACAAACTGGCACAGCCTCAAACTGGTCGTTGGGCTGGATTGCGATGCGCGGAACTTACTTCACAACTGAGCCTCTTGCGTGTGCGATGAGCTTCAACCCAGCTGCACACAACTGACATAGTTCAAACACGCAGGACAGCAGTGAGTTTGCAGCGACTAAGGAGAAGAAGTGGCGGGCTTGAAGGAAAGTGCATGCAGCCTGCCGCTATGATTGCAACTTGTCGAGCCAAACTGGCTTCAAACCAACTTCGTACGAGGATACATCATCAAATGGGAGTTTACGTCCAACCATTATTATGTGAGGCTGTGTCCCATGAAAAACAAAGGTGAGCAAGCCAGGATCATTGACTTGCTAGCCCTGTCACAAGCGAATCGTCTCTTTCTGGTGAGACTCTCGACCCTGACGCGTGCATTTGGAGGGCAGCCTAGCAATGATGGGGCAAACAGCTACATATGTATATATATATAAATATATATATATATGTATATATATATATATATATAAATATATATATATATGTATATATACATATAAATATATATATAATTATATCCTAGAACCCACCAGGACTGCCTACAAAAACAAAGCTCAGTATGGCCAACTGTCTGGATACAAGTTGAATGAAGCAGACAATTGTCTGAAGTCCCTGTTGAAGGGTATTGGAGACTCTGACATCTTTATGATTGCCGACAACGTTCTTTTCGCAGTCCAACCCTCCGCCGAAGAAAAAGGTATGCGGCATGTAATTTATAACCCGTGAAGCCATGTTTTGGACGGCCGGAATCTTGAAGAACAGAAACGGGACCCTTGCATTATACACCTGAACATTGCCTTGTAAATGGTGGTGTCCCTTTATTTTGGTAGAAAAAGCCATGTTTCAAATGGGCCAAGTGTATCTTTTAAGGAGCCCTGGGTTGCTTGAGTGCTGCCGTACCCCTCTGTGTTCCCTGGTCGTTCGGCCGACATCCGCCTCGAGGGAAGCAGAGGACACGCCCTTGAGAACTGACGAAACATCGCTGTCCTGCGCTAAAGTGCAAGAGGTTCGCTCTGGATCCAAAGGCTCAACCACTGGGAGGTTTTGTGCTCCTTTTATCCCTTGCCCAAGTACCCCCAACTCCAAATACCCACTTTTTTCAGGGTATGATGTCGACCTCTACTAAAAAAGGAGGTATTTACCATGGAAAGTGGGTATTTGGAGTAGGGGGTAGGCTCTAGGGACCCGGAGGGTTCCAGGGTTCCGGGGGACTGTTGGGGATACCTTCAGGAGTCTCCCATGCCCTTTCAAGATGTGGTATGTGTCGCTGCCCCGAATGGCCACAAACTGTACCATATACCATATCGACGACGCAGGAGGTTTGCGACTGTTTGCGTTGAACAAACGGACCAAGTAATCGAAGTGGGCCAACCATATCACACCACCAAACACTGTAACTTGCGCTAAACCACAAACAAACAGCATCCTTTGCCTGGGCCTCAAAGGAAATCCCCTTCACGGAAAGTGGAAGCCGTTTTCTTGCAAATGTGCCAACGGTCAGGCGAAGGAAGGGAAACAAGGCTAAATCTAAGACATAATCGTTGGTCAGCTCATTGGTTTTCCAGCTGGAAACAGGCTCTTCCGGCATTCAAAGAGCAGCCAAGGCAGAAAACGGGTCCCATGTTTTAAACCAAGAGCGACTCCCCCATATTTACAGATGTCCAGCCAAGTAGGTGCTGGCTCTTGTTGTAAGCCGCTTCACACCAACGACATGGCACGCTTCTTGTACAAACCGAGGGTGAATTCTGTCATCGACTTCAAACTGCTCTCCCACACAACAGGAGGTTTATGAACTTCACTCAATCTAATCTCTAATCCCTGATATATTATATAGAGGTCTCAAATACTTTCAGTAGCGGACGCCATGGGCCCTTCATCACCGCAACCTGGAGACGTGAACACATTGGGCCTGATTGTTTCATGTCCTCGAGTTGCTGCTCTTTTGCTGTGTCTTTGGTGTTCTCGAATTTCTTTGAGTTGTGCAGTTGTTTGGTTTTCTCAGGTTTTTTCCCCTTCTCTCAAGGTCTTGGGGTTTGTCAAGTCTTCTTTTTGTTTCTCCTTTCAAGGCGCGGGCATCCTGACAGTTTGTATTCCCGTCTTGGATTCGACTTTTTTTGCCTGGAACGGACAAATCCTTTCTGAAGACAACTTAAGAATGATAAGTCTGGTTACTTCCTATTCAAATCCAATCTTGCAATTCGATTCAAATGAACTAGAAGACACCACCAGCGTGTCTTCCTCATTGAATTCTAGTAAAAGTCCTAGGTATGTGGACAGGAACTTCTAACTAAGTTCTAATCTAATTCCAGTCCTACTTGGAAGGGCATTTCTAGTTATGATTCGAAGGAATTCCTGGTTACAATCTACTTCAAAATGATAATTATAATTGAATTATAATTGAACTCATATTTGGAAAGCATTCCTAGTTAACACCTAATCTCATATCATCAGAGTTCCAACTAACGTCTAATTGCAGTCCTCCGTGGAAGGAATGTACTATTTAATAATTCAAAGAACCATTCTGATGCCAAACGGGAATGAACAGAAAGCTGCTAAGATCATTGCAGCTACTCTTGGCACCCCACTACTCTAAAATAGCTCTGGATTCTGCTTGAAATGCAATTCGTGGTCGGATTTCACTTTCAAAATTTCAGGCCTTAAGTCCAGCTCTCCACGCAAGGCCCCTGCAGCATTTTGGGGGAGGGAGTAAAGCAGCGCCGAGTCCGTTTTGGAGATCAAGCCATGTCCATTGTGCTTGCAAGTCACATGCCGTACCTCAAAGAAGCCTACACTTTATGGGACCCGGCAGCCATACATTTTGTTCACAAAGGTAGGAGCAGCCTTTTACCCTTCACTGAAACGGGTTGCAAAGAGACTGGCAACCCACAAGGTCACAAGGTCGACTTGTGGGCCAGAGCTCCCTACAGTTTCCTTTCAAGGTCACCCCCAAACTCACCTAAAATTCATCAAAAAAGCAGCCTGTCCCCTTTTACAGTTGAAACGTCTGAACCAAAACTCCCTACATTTATCTTTCAATCTCTGGTCCAAACTCCATGAACTAGGGCTCCCTACATTTCATCCGGCCATCTTTTCAAACTCCGAGTTTCGTGGCAGTGAACATCCAATTCAATCCAACCACTAAAATTGGAAGCCTAAAAGTGGGTGAATTCCCCCACCAAAATGGGATTCTGTTGGATCAAGCAAAACGGTTTTGACCACAGGCATTTGAGAAGTAGACCCAAGAAAGCAGCTGCAAGGCTGCAGAACGCACCCAGCTCTGCTCACCGCACGCGGACCGTCCTCCTTCTTGGCCAGGTAGGAGCTCGCCACGAAGCCCGCGGCGCCGATCTGAGACAAAGCGAGCCCCTCCAACGCCTCCAACACCTAGACGAAGGGTTTCCCTAAATAGAGATCCCCGAAAATGTGGCAGATGGTCTGTGGGTTTCCCTCCAAATATCAACCATAAGGGGGTAGAATGTGGTCAAAATGTGGTCGGTGTCCTTTTGTCTTCTCCCTAAATATCAACCAGAAGAAAGGTCCACCATTCTGAGAAACACTCATATATGCCGTCGCTGGACATCGGATCTCCTTATCTGGCGGGTGTAGGTGGGGAATGCGGTGGAATGAATCCCGGACAAAAACCCCAAAAACCAGTTAGATGGAATTTATCTCGAGGTCATTCCACTTCTCATTCCCTGCCTATCGCACCGATCACAAGTTGCGGGCTGGGGCCGGTTTCTTCTTCTGCCCCCGAGAAATTTGGCGTCCTTTCTGTGCCTCCCGTGGCTTCCCCATGCCTTAAGGGGCAGTCCATGTCTCATTCCCAGCAAGTTGCGGGGGCGGGGGTCCTTTTGTGCCCCTTTTAAGCGCTTGTCTGTGCCTTTGCCCGTTGCCCCACGCCCTGAAAGGTCATCCCCTCCTAGGTCCTCCAGTAGACAGGTTAGAATAAGGGTACTTGTTTTTTTCTGTAGACTATTTTAGTGGGGGAACCCTCCCCCCAAAAAAGAAATGGTAAAAGGGCACCTAGCTGGGGGACCTAGCCTCATTCCCCGCATCTCTCGCACCCATCGCACGCTCACTTCGCTTGGGGACACGCCCAGAAGCCGCCCAAGAGCAGGCCCGTGACGCCGCCCAGCACGCCCGCGGTGGCGATGCTGTTCTCCTTGGTCACCTCCAGCCACTCCCCCCCGCCTCCCCCCGAAAAAAAGGATCCAAAGGTTACAGGCAAACGACCAAGTCATGCCGTCACTCCTGTATCTCTGTGGCCATGTGTTCCCCCATGTAAACGCCGATTCCAAGAAATCACTGTACCGAGTGGATCTTGAAAAGCCCAAAGACATGGAGCTACTCCGAACGAAAATGCACAGGGCGGGACATTTTGCAGCAGGAAGAAGGCACCCCTGAGGCTGCTGAGTGGATCTTGCAAAACCGCAAGCACGAGCAAATGACTGGGTGCTCCACTTTTACTTGGACCCCCAAGGGAACAATCCAAGGGTACACCTACGGGCAACCTGAAAAAGACCCGCTTTGGCTACTGAGTGGATCTTAAAACAAAAAGACGTGAACCCCAAAACAAAATAGAAGGGGTGTGAAAAGAAACTGGTTCGTACCAGCGCTGTCTTGGGGTGTTTCACCTGCAAACATGCGCTAAAGAGGGCATGACCCAAACCAACCCTTTACCAAGCCATGTCCCAAGCACGAAAAGAGCCACAGTGTCCTGAGTGGGTCTTATCCCCCAAAGGCGCAAAACAATAGAACAAATTATCCGGTTCAATGGAGAAAACAGGCTTCCAACATATGGCTGTGGGTCAAAACCCTGTACCCCTGGTGAACATCGAAATAGGTGGCAAATGGATGTTCATCCACCCCAAAAAGGAGCCATAGGTTATGCCCCATGGCCATATCTTAAAGTCTAGCAGTTTTTCTTCCGGATCTACCCAAGACCAGCCAATGCGTGAGGAGGCTACGAGGGTGTGAATCGTGGAGCACTCCTTTCCGCCGTGGGGAGCCAATCAGTGGCCAAGACGTTCCCAGGTCAATTGGTGAGTGTCTCCTAAGGGGAGCCCTGTTCCCCTGCATGGTCCTGGATGAACCGTGGTGCACAGTTAGAAAATGCAGCGGACACGGAGACTGAAGGCTTCCCTATACCGAAGAAATATCGAATATGTTTCTACCAGGATTAAGTCAACCAAACGGGCTAAGTGGATCTCCCGCTTCTCCAAACGAAAAAAGCAATTGAAGTTGAACTATGAGGAATTAAACAAACGCGCTCCCCCCCCAAATATATATATATATATATGAGAACTTTGGCCGGCCCCACCAAAGACAAGCGATAGAACGGTGCACTAAAATGGCTTGGACTTAGGTCTTTCACAGCCTCTGGCTGATGTTTGCTCTTGCCTCGAACGGTCGGAACCCTCCCTCAAGCAGGGCACCTGACACTGAAGGAAATGGACCTCTCACGTGCCGCGTAGTGGGAGTGAGGGTTAGCTGGTGAATTTTTAACTGTCCTCTGCGCCTCCCACAAGGAAACCATGAATATATGTCATGTGGCCTGGATTTGGGACCCCAACAAATGGCAACGATTTCCTATTTTGGAATCCTGTTCAGAACCGTCCATGACGGGGTCTCAATTTCGGGGCATGTTTCAGGTCGAACAGCAAAGCCTGAACTCCTATCAAGCACCAGAATCAGAGCATGAACATAACTTGTGGCTTGCTTGAATTTGATAGGCTGGTCGGACAAACTCTACACATTTCCATCCCCTTGTGTCTGCATTTAGGGGGCGTTGAAGGTAGCTCAACGGCACCGGGATTCTGGGTTCCGGTACAGCAAACATTGAACACAAACAAGAAAAAAGCACAGAAAGCCATGGCAACAACGGCAACGACAACTTTGGCAACGATACCAGTTTACCAGTTTACTGCTACGCCACAGCGGCCACATGTTTTTGTTGGCACTACATTGGCAGCCCAAGAGCTTCTCATGCAAAGGCGAGCCTTCCTCCCACATGGCACACCACGCCCAACAAGGAGAGGGTCCCTTCATTTCGCTTCCCCCCGGCCCCTTCTGAAACGCTAGCGTTTCTGGTCTTTTGTTATGGAACTGGAACCTCTTCACGCTTGCCGGAGTGCCAGTTACTGGGCGTCCACACATGGGAATACCTTCACATTTGAGTGAGAGAGAGAGAGTGAGTGAGCGAGCGAGGGAGTGAATGCGTGCGTGAGTGAAAGAGTACGTGAGCGAGCGAGTGAGCGCTTGCGCTTGTGCGCGTGCACCTCCTGCAACACGAAGCCTTAGTTGAAACTGCTGGCATGGCTCGTGTGCATGCGTGAAGGAATTCACGTTTTCTGCAGAATGAACGGGCCATTTGTTTGGATGGCCAACGAAGAGGCCGATGGCAAAAGCTGCAAACGGACCTGCGAAACGTGGGCAGCTGGGGGGGGGGGGGGGCGCCCCGAAGTAAGATAGCCAATGAATGCCTAAGTGACAGGCTCTAGTTTGCAGTTTGCGGGTTGGATCATTTGAGGATTGATATGATATATGTCCTCACACTCCTTGCGTGGGCTTTCCACAGGGCGTGAGATGCATGAGAGAACACGACCCCTCCTGTTTTTTGTGTGGCTTTCAAAGGGAACCCTCGTGCTATGCGTTTTCACCATAGGTGTCCTTTTGGCAAAATAGATGGCCCTGGTAAATGGAATAAAATTCATCTAAACCAGTGCCTTCTATGTTTAACCAAGATAACCTGAAAAAGACACCTATGATTTTCACGGGGAAAGGTATACCACAGCGACTTCTGATCTTTGGAGAATGCCCGGACTGCGCCTTCACCAAAGCCACGGATGATCCAGAAGAGGCGGTCGCAGCCTTCCCGAACTCGCCCAAACCAAAGGGCGAGTAAAAGGGGCTGCCGCTAGGCATCTTAACCTTGACCAGTCCTAATCAGCTCTGTTTAAAGCCAGACACGTTTTTGTTGCTTGCGTGAAGCAAAGAGAAGTAGAGAAAATACAGTTTGGCTGATGCCGGTCCAACTGAAGTACATGAACTTCAGCGCTTGCGTCCCCAAAAAAGGCAAACTCTGTTTCAGCAGCTTGTGAGAGCGCAGGGAAAAAAACAAACACATAACACGTGTTTGTGCGACGCTTTTCTCTCTGTCACCCCCCACATTGATCCGTTGGCTTGACCGTGGCAGGTGATATTCTGCGAAGGCCGCCTCTTCAGCAACTGGCAAACCGGATTGCGCAGAAACACGAGCACATACAGTCTAGAAGCACACTCCCAAGCAGTCGTGGGGTCAGAAAAAGGCACGAAGGAGCCTGTTGAGGTCGCTTCTTTGGCACCGCAACACAGCACACATCAGGGCGGCTTAGATTTCCAACCCAAACATGACTCCACTATGTTGGAACGCCCAATTTAGACTGCCTCGACCAGAGCATTCAGAAGGAGAATGGCTTCTGCCCGACTCCCATCTTGCAAGCCACACTCCCATGTCCCACCATTCTCTGCAAAATATTCAAGGACTTGCTTTTCACCTCGGGATAGCTTTCATCTGAATTGCTGTTTCCATGATGTTCCCACTCAGTTCTGCCAGCTGACCTCGAATTTGAGACCTGTGGAAGTGCGGTTCCCTTCTGGGTGCTTTGCTTGTGGGTTGAATTGAAGAGACCCCAACAGAAGCAACATTACTAATGGGCGGCCGCGTTGTTGGAGGCTGGGCATTCGAAGCAAGCCACTTTTTGCAGGCAAATTGCTTTGCCTCTAGACTTGCCCCCTTTACCGAATGCTTGTCATCGAAAAACCCAGAGCTCTTTTGTTAAGATGAGATGGCTTCAAAAGGATATCGACCGAAAAACCGAGCGCTTCACTTGGTTGCTGTTGACCCCTCTGCAAAAGTTCACCTTGTCACGGAAAATCCGGCCTCTTTCAACCAAAAAGTTGTTCAGTCCGAAGATCGGCTACCAAAAATCGCCATGAAGTCTAGGGGTTCAGATCAATCGAGCACTGCACGGTGTCTCCCGTGAGCCGCCTGCCTCGGCCGAGAGCGCGGTCTCGGGCCTTTGGCTCCTCGGAAAAAGAAATCAGAAAAAATGGGTTGTGGACCCAAATGGATGGGGAAAACAAATGGACCAATCAGGATCCAAATGGATGGGGAAAAGTGTCTCAAATATATATATATATATATATATATGTATATACATGTATATATATATATATATATATTTGAAAAAAAAAAGCCATTTGGGTTGCAGAGTTGTCCGACCCAAACTTGCAGCTTGTAAGAGTCGTTCGCCTGGGTAGGTGGGTTCCTATCTGCCTTGCGTGCTTGCTTGTGACTGGTTAGTTGGTTGGTTGGTCGCTTGGCTGGCTGGCTGGCTGGCTGGCTTGCTGGCTGGTTGGGAAAGTTCATGGCTTCCCTTACATGTCAGGCAACCAGCATTCGGGTGTCGGCTCGACAAAGCTGTGGCAACTAAAGAATTGGAACGGTAGGTCGGTCTTTGACCCCCAAAAGCGTTGAGCGTGCTACCTTGCGAAGCAACTCTTCTTCACAAGTTGAATCCGAAACAAACCACAAGACTTATTGCCTAAGGCTGCAGGCCAAGGAAATTGCTGGAACCTCAGGAACCCAAGGCCCTTGAGGATCGGTGCTTTCCGCATACATGGGAGGCATTCAAAGACCCCTGTCTTCGGCAGTTGTTGGAGAAGCCAAGAGTAAAGCAAAGGCACACTTGCGCGCTGCTCGATGGCTACAGAGCAACCCACCCACACGATAAAAAGCATTCGAAAAGCCGCTGATTTGTTCACGTTGCCAAAAAGCCCGCGAATTTGCCGACCCCTCAACAAGCTTAACAACTTGCTGCCGCGAATTGGGCAGAAGAAAAAAATAAGTCACCAAACCTTCACTTTGCCACCCACAGGACACAAAGGTCCAAACCCAAAACGGACGAAAGTCCACCTCAGGAAGTTCCACAACGAGTTGCCGGGTAACTCACCGCTTGGTTTGGGGGTTCCGGACGTTCCCGCGCCGAAGCTTCGCGCGCCCGGCAATGGCAGGCCTGGGGCTGGCGTTGATGAAGCACCTGGGCACCTCGTTCGAAGGCGGCGTCGTATCATTTTTTTCGAGATGCGAACTGCAAATTAAAAAAAAACAAACAAAAAAAACAAGGAAGCCTCCGGCTCAGGGCAGAGTTTCGCATCCATGCTGAGACAAGCAAATACTTTGGAAGTGACACAAACCGCTACCCAGCTACCCAGCCAGCCGGGTGTGGCTGGCTGAGATTGGTTCACTTGCAAAAAGAGAGAATCCACCGCAACGCAACAAGGGGACTGGCTGACGAAGATGGGGCTCCCTATTACAATCTCAGCAAATGTCTAGAAGTTGCCGCAAGTTGTTCGTTCTCCATGGGCTTGTAACTGTGGGCAGGTTGGAGCTTGAAAATGGGGAACCTAAAACGGTCTCTGAACCAAGCAACCAGTTTGAGCAGCAACTTCTGTGCATTTAACAAGTGATGCTAACAAATGGGCCAATCACTTTCAGTAGAAAGG